CTTTTTAATCCCAATTGATACTGTTATGTAGTAATGTATTGGTTGCTGGTCGGATTGTTAACCGGTCATAATTTGGGACAGAAATCTGAGGTGAGTACGACAGTGTTTGATTGGAATTAGGTCTAATCAAACGAAACACTGCAAGGTATATTAGACCGGAGGCTAATTTGGGACAGAAATCTGAGGTGAGTACGACAGTGTTTGATTGGAATTAGGTCTAATCAAACGAAACACTGCAAGGTATATTAGACCGGAGGCTCAGCGCGGAGGGGTGTCCATCAAATGGGCACAAAACCAGACCAAACTTTTCTAGAGTAAAATTTTGCGTAGAATACGATGCCGAGTGGTAATCAGTCCGCTGTTGGGGCGTTTTCGAGATATTCGGGGTCAAAGGTCAAATGAGTTCATTTGCACTGAAAGTGAATGCGCAGTCATTCTTGTATTATGAAAAGAAGCTGAAAATGATCGAAAGTAATCACACTTTCTATAAAAATGTAAACTTGCTAAATTCACCTTTAGTCTTAGTGACCCTGGGGGTCAAAAGGTGAAATTTACCGTTTTTGCACAAGGAAGATTTAAAGCAATAAAATGTCAACGTAAAATATAAAAATTAAAGCGAAACCGGTTCTAATTAATAATAGGAACATTTCAGATTTATCTTTAGGTGGTCTTAGCACCTATCTTTTACTTTGGAGCGTCGAAAATGATCTTGCATAACAGAACAAACACACTTTGAAACCTGTTTCAAAAATATGTAAAAACTGTCAAATCGAAATCACTCCGATTTATTTTCACATCGATTGTTATACATTGTGATACTAGTTATCTGAAAAACAATTGAATAGTTTCAGTGTTGGACTCCAGCCACGTGGATTTCCGAGAATCCCAGTCTAGGAAAACCGACGTTAATCTGTGACGGGAAAACACGCATCTGGTGACGAGATTAAAAGTTTGCAAACTTTTTATGAGTTTTTATGAATTTCGCCGGAACATGGACGCAAATAAAACCGACGAATGCATTGTACATAGTAGTTCACAGGATATATATGTCGTATTGGTAAATGTTAGCGGGGAAAATTTTGGCAGGCTTTGTGATGCGGCCTGCAGGCTGGAGTATGTAATTGTTTTTTTCAGACAACTAGTATCATTATGTATAGCATTCGTTGTAAAACTAATTCGGAGAGATTTTGATTTAACAGTTTTTACGTATTTTTGAAACAGGCTCCGAAGCGTTTTGGTTCTGTTATGCAAGATCATTTTCAACATTCCAAAGTAAAAGTTTGGTGCTAAGACCACCTAAAGATAAATTTTAAATGTTCCTATTAATAATTAGAACAGGTTTCGCTTTAGTTTTTATATTTTACGCCGACATTTATTACTTTAAATCTTCCTAGTGCTAAAACGGAAAATGTGACCTTTTGACCTCTGGGATTACAAAGAACAAAGATTATTAATAATTAGAACAGGTTTCGCTTTAGTTTTTATATTTTACGCCGACATTTATTACTTTAAATCTTCCTAGTGCTAAAACGGAAAATGTGACCTTTTGACCTCTGGGGTCACAAAGAACAAAGATGAATTTAGCAAGTTTACATTTTTATTGAAAGTGTGATTACTTTCGATCATTTTCAGCTTATTTTAATGATACAAGAATCGCCGCACATTCACTTTCAGTGCAAATGAACCCATTTGACCTTTGACCCCGAATATCTTGAAAACGCCCCAACGGCGGACTGATTACCACTCGGCTTCGTATTCTATGCAAATATTACTCTAGAAAAGTTGGGTCTGGTTTTGTGCCCATTTGATGGACACCCCCCCCACCCCCCGCGCTGAGCCTCCAGACTATACGCTAAAGTAAAACTACCCAAATCCCAAAGAACTGAAAATAATTTTTTTTTTACCTAAGTTCAACTTACCTAAGTAAGAGCAATAGATATGACTGTGCACTCTATGCCTATGCACATAAATGTCTGTATAAACTGGCTTTGATAGTGTTTATCATTATGTGGAACTACATGTATAATGTTCTCACCTAGACACCAACTAATTATAAGTAAATGATTTACGAAATTAGTTGATCACAATATTGAAAAGCTTTTAGTACCACCAAGGGTGACAAATGTCAAGTCATATCATGTCAGGAATGGAAATCAATTCCAAATCTTTCCGTCTAACACTATTAACTCCCAAAACTCATTTTTCCCTTCAGTGGACAGAGATTGAAATTGCTTTACCAAACGAAATAAAAGCCAACCAATGTAATATCTTTGAAAACCGAATGCTGTAAAAATCATATTCAATTCCAACTGTGTATAAATTTTTGTGGAGAAAGAAGATTTTTAGATTCAATAGGAAAACTTTCATTTCTAAGAATGAAAAAGAAAAGTTAATCTGATGGAAATATTTCCTTTTTCTAATTTAACACATATTAAAGCAGGAGTATTAGAGTTATAGTCCCTGGTGGAATGGTGGTCAAATTAACATTTAAGATGTGTGTGTGTGTGTGTAATATAACCTTTGAATCCAGTCTTTATATAAAGAGACACTTCTAGTAACAAGTATATTAACACACTTGTTTAAACTAAATGAGCTATTCACATTGTGATATACAAGATAGTTCACTGACAAAATCTCTAATGAATCAATAACCAGTATAGTTCATGATTTTATAAACATGTCAAAGCCTTTTGATAAACCGTAAACCATACAGTTTAGGTGGCTTTGATTAAAAATATTGATTTTTCTGCGTTGTCAGTTAAGGAAGTGTCTGGTGTCTCTCCTTCCATCTTTTCCTCAGACAATTTATGTAGGTGTGTGTATCCAAGTGTTACAAGTTTATTGATGTGTTTAAATGTATATCCATGTTCTATAAATCTATGTGATTAGCCATTCGTTTAATTTTAACCCCAAAATATGAACGCCATCAAAGTGTTTACTTTCAAAGGCAGACTATGTCTCTCATTTTATTAGCTTTGTTAAGCTTTTAAATCATCCAGATATAATGAATGATAATAAAACTAGTCTGTAGACTCTATATTTCTCTAGTTTTCATTTCATTTTATTTATCACATCATTTCTACATTTATAACGTCCACCGCCTACTGAGAAATAAAGGTCTACATCACAAAAAATATGAAGAAACACAAACTAGCATATTTTAAAATATTGACTACAGTATGGCCAAAAATAGATCCAATGATGTACTCTTGGATAAATTCTCCACTTCAAAATATAAATTCATTCTAAAAATGTCAACACAATGATGTGAAAAGTGAATTAAACACATCCCATTTGTTGTTCTGTTCCTCTTCAAACTAACATCATCAAAAAATAGTGGTGATGTTAAAATTTGAACCAAGTGTTATATAACTACAACTATAAATAACTTAATAGAACATTATCTCTCTTATATTTTATAACCCATTTCTATAAAGTATCCCTTATATCACATTTCTTCCCCTTTCAGAGAGCTGTCTATCATTGTTTCATTTCCAAATAAGTTATTTTTTGTCCCGACCAAACCTAAAATAGGGAAGATAAACTTTGATCCAATCATTTTAAAGAAAATGTCTAAGATTGGCAATGACAGTGCGATGGTTTTTTTTCCTATTGATGATACCAAGCTTCAACTCTCCTCTCTATGAAGTTGCCTATTTAAGGTGATTTGAAGTCAGCTACATCACAGCTATTTTGAGGAATAGTAAATAGTGTAGCGTTAAACTTCATTATTTCAAACCACTGGGGAACAGTTTAAATAACTCAAGAAAATCCCCTTTCGACAAAAAGAAATTGACAATCTGACAGTGGCTGTATTAGAATGTTACCAGTTGCCGATAGTGGTGGATTTATCTTTGATAACATGAACTTGATTACTTTTGTGTGAAAACTAACTGGCACCCACCATCATTCAAGTCTGTGTTTGAAACGATATTACTTTGAAAGACAATTGGATTATTGAACTTCTGAAAAAATAATCACTACAGGCTTATCTTGTTTTGAAGAACGAATAGTTGGCTTTATGAAAACGTAAAAAAATAAATGAATTTAGTGAAATTAAAACAATTGTTTGAGGTTATTTCAGAAAGCTTATACAGCGAGTCTTTGGTACAAATGGCAGTGTAAAAAAGCATCAATATGAACAGGAAACTAAACAAATGTAGTCACTTTTTAATAAAGAAAAACGGTAGGTGATGTCGATGTCCATAGGTGTTATGAGCTGTCAATCAAAATCACTGTCAAGATCAGATTTCTGCTCCTTCAGTTTAGTCTTTGTGAAAAAAAAAGACAAAAACTTACATAATTTCAAATTGGAGGATTTTTGTGATTTAACTAATCTTTATACTGTATACATGTAATACTATTATATTATTGGCACACTGAAAAATATCTATGAGATAATCATGGGCAATAACTCTTTTAAAGTAATTATTAGAAGGAAAAATGCACACATTAATAGACCATGACTCTTAAAGTGCTAGTTGAAACTCTTACTGCCGAAATGTTGGATGTGCGTTTCTATTGATTTGAAGTTTGGCACATTTAAATATGGGCGTATAAAAAGTTAACAGATGAGGAACAGATAACAAACTGGTTGTATGGCATTAATCTACAATGTACCTGTAATTGGTATAATGAGCTATAATACAATCAAATCGTGACTTCTTTTAAAAGTGATGTCATAACTATAGTGAAGTTTAAATTTTGTATTTGCTTGCATGCAGGGGTCTTTTGTTTGAGCAAACCATGACTATACATGTGTATATATTGGTGATCAACATAAAATAAAAATATCACACTGTACATGTATAATACTCAATCACACACACACATTTAATAAGAACATTATGAGGTAAATTCATATTATAACTATAAGCCTTAGTTTAGCTGTATATTCATATATTTTCTTTGAAAGCAACCAGATTAAAACATAATTCATAAATTATGAGATTTTACTGAATATCAGTGCTTTAAAAATAATAATTGCAAATTCGACTTACCCACTGAAACCGAACGAATGTTATTAGCTCTTCTTCTTCGTTCTAAAAATGTTAAAAAAAATAAATTACATGGGTATGGGACATAATAGAAATGAATGAGAGTTGGAAAACTGACAATATAAGGGGAATAACCCTTTTTAGTTATGTGTATTGTTTATCAATTCTATATCTATAGTCCGGTCGCTAAACCCAATATTTCGAGTGAACCTGGAAATTGTATACAAAGCTGGTTTTTTTGATTGATTTTAGTAGCCTCAAAACTGGAAATGTAGTCTTGTTCCAACGAATGATGCATTTGCTGGAAACGTAAAAAGATGTCATCCCCAAGCTATTGTGTGGCGTTAACTGGAAGATCGTAATCTGGTGAAACTTGATCTGGAACTGTATTGCTGGGTGAAGGATACTAAATTGAGAACATTACAACTGGTCAACTTGCTCCAGGGTCTGACATGTGGCTCATCAGATGTGGATGCAAGAGTCACACCTCATTATTTCAACTGGTCTGCCGTCTTGGACGCCATCTTGAATTTCTCAAAAAGCTCAAGGGTGACCAAGGTTCTCCCGGCAGATTCTGAAAGAGGACACACCATAGGCTACTAAAATAAATCATAAAAAAACCTCTGTATACAATTTCCAGGTTCAGCCATAGTTCTGCCGGACTACTAGTGATTGCAGATTTCATCTACTCTGATCAGTTAGACGTAAAACCCAGTATTAAAGATGTATTTATATTTATAATGTACTTCTGGATATTTACCAGAGCAAACCCTTAACTTAGTTATTGACTCCATAATGATTTCATTTTCCCCATGGTTCATTTTCCAATTATACTACAATTATATCTAAGAGTTTACACAAGAATTTACACATTCTACACATACTTTATATAACAAGATTAAAACAGACAAAATAAAATACAAACCTTCTTCTTCATATCTTTGTTTTATCCACAGTCTGTAGAGTAGTAAAACTAAAGCTATAATTCCAACTAAAGCTATAACCCCAACTACAGTACCAAGTATTATCTTTAAAGCTTGTTGGTATTCTTCAGGCTCCTGAGATGCCTCGATAATAGGACCTCCTATTGAAATAAAAAAAGCAACTCGGTTTTTACTGGCTATGACTGAGAGCAAAGTTGATGTAGCAGTAACATTAAGAGAGAGAGAGAGAGAAATGGGGTTTAACGTCCACTCGACACAAACTAGATCATTTCGGGACTAACACATGGTTTAATTTTATTTACATAATTCGCTTGCACGTATGGGGTCTTTAGCAGTGGGAGGAAACCGGAGGACCCGGAGAAAACCCACGAGGTTGGACAGGCGACCCTACTCCTTGCCACGTACAACCGGGGATTTGAAACCACGCCAGTCGACTCAATGACAGACTTTATGATACAGCATGCATGCTAACCATTCAGCCATCCAACCCCCCAGTAACATTAATTCAAAAGCTGTCTATATAATAACATGATATCAGTGCTATTAATATTTAGACATGCCTTATGCAAGAGCTAAATCTGCCTATTGCAGGTCTTTCTTTAGGCCTGAAATGTTATCTAAATTATTAATTAGACATTAATTAACTTATCAAGACCATAATCAACTCTTGATGCAATCATTAGCCTGCGATATTTAGTGGATTTGAATACGTTTTTTTGATGGATGATTTAATATAAAAATGGATAATCGAGACTTTGTTTATTATCGTAATGACAATCGAGGCTAGCCTAAAGTTGAATCGCTAATATCTCGGTTCAGAGCAGAGGTCGCAGACATGCAAAAATCCACGTTTTTCACACATTTTTTTCAAAATAAATGCAAATATTGACGGACGCTGCGTAATTTACATGCAGCAAATTTCCACGACGTGAGAATAATTAGGTTATTCTATTTCATAGTTTGTATACTACGTCATCAATTTCCGTGCTTCGCGCGGCATTTACACACCGCTACTGTACGTAGTCTCCATAGGTTTTTGATATTTCCACTTATTTTGTTCATAATGTTTAAGTTCATGGCAGTAAGCCTTCTATACGTAGCTATTCTGAGACCCCCTATTTTGCCGCACTGGAAGCAATAAAGCGCATTTCATACAAGACTTTGGATTGGCTAGAACACGATAAACTAAGTGAAAGATTGAAATAACTGTGCTGTCAACCATACATATGCCGTCAACCTTCAGTCGTTATTAGACTAAATACAATATCAATGAAATAAGGACGCTTAAAATAGGGTTGTTCACGTAACGATTTTACTTGCTTCTATTGAGTATTTTGAGAGACTCTAAATCACGCAAATGTAAAGAGCAAAAACGCAAAAAATTTTAATGTCTGTATTTTTACGCAACTCGAAATTAATCCACTGTGACCTCAGGTTAAGAATGAAGGAATTTGACTGAAATTTTCAGCATATTCTGTTTCCATTATCTCTTTGTCTAATCTTATCTAATGCCCCTTTAAGTAACTCAGGTAAGCCTGATTCACAATCACACGCCACTACTACTACATTTGTGTCACCTCTGTGTGAAAATTTTCAAGAAAGACAATCCAGTTTGTTTCAATAAATTGATAAAAGTGGTAGAAGAATATGGCTATTTGCACAGTAAAGGGACAAAACATAACAATCAACTTGGACATGTTGTAAATAAAAATATATGTATATTTGTTATGCTTTTGTTATTGTTCCTAATTGATATATGGTTGGGTAGACAGAAAAGACAATATAAAATAACTGCCTGAAGATTATATATTATTTTTTCTCAAAAAAAATGTTTGAAACCCTCATAATTTGGATGGAGCCAAACTCCTGAAAAATAGTACCTATTGGATAAGGCTTCAGATTTCTAACAAAACTTTGGTGTATGTTTTAATTATCTGGATAAAATTGTTCTATAATGATTAAATGCTGAATTAGGATAACACAACAATCTCTAGGGACTGTTAAAATAAACAATATCTTTCCTTCAGTTTTCTAATATTTATTTCCCATTTTCGATCCGAGACTACAACGTAACGCTCGACATTTTGTATAGTGTCTAAGCGTTGATGTTTCACAGTAAGTCGACTCACATTGGTAAAATTTCGTAGAATTTGGCATAAAGTATGTCTTACATCTATGTGTTTTGTATTTTTGCTGTAACAAATTGTCGAACGTCACGTAAAATTCATTCCATCCGCAAACACAAAACTTTTCCTAACTACTAAGAGCGAACGGTTTTTCGCGAAAACGTAAGCGAATAGGACTTGCCATTGAGGAGAATAAAGAGAACAAAACTCGACATTGGTAAATCTATCAATTCCTCATGTTTTCAAATTCCGTCATGTTCTAAAAATAGTAACGATCGATGTTCGCAGATGGCGCATCTGTCCAGAATGTAAAGATCCGGTTTCCTGGTTCCGTCCAAATCGAGGCTAAGGGACGGTGTCTGCTATTCTGCTATTTCGCTCTATATCACGTTTACACATCTAATCTACATGGAATTTGTTGCCATTTCAATCATTAAAATTTATGATAACGTTATTTTCCATCCATCACATTTTTGATAACGTTATTTTCCATCCATTACATTTTAGATAACATGGATCACGTGGCTATGTGGGTAAGACGCTGGCTCGCTAGCCTGGAGGTGTGGTGTTCGATCCCTGCATTGGCCGAGAAAGTTCATCCAGATTTTCCGGCGTCGTTTCCCCTTGTCATTGATGCAGGACGGAGGGCCTGACAAGGACAGCTATCTAGTCATTCGGATGGGACGAAAAACCGAGGTCCCGTGTACATATTGGCGTGCACGTAAAAGATCCCTTGGCAGTTGGAATTTGATATAAGAGTAGTTCGTAGTGCTGCTGCCCGGGCAAAATTTCCCTCATAGCACACTGTATGGCATATGCCTGTCTTCATTAGCCCAGTTTAGGAGCAGAACAGTAGGACATTAAACCCCATTTCATTTCATTTATTTTCCATCCATTGATAACGTTACTACATTTCCATCCAATATAACGAACAAAAACCAGCATTTATTTTGATGAAAGCTTGGCAACAGATTATTTTGTTATTTGTTTGTTTAATACATAATTTACAGATTGAATAAAAATTATTCTAAATAATTAAATCAAGAAATTAAATGTTGTAGAGATATAACAGTTGTTATTTTCCATTCGAGTTATGCCAATTGATATTTCATCTATAATTTTAAAAGTAATGGGAATAAAAAGTCCATTCAAAGTTATTATAAGGCCAGACCAATTTATTCTCTTGTTTTACGGATCCGCCGACCTGAATTTCTAGAACCCGCCCAAAAAAAAAAAACATAATTGTGTCCGATGAAAAAAAAAATCAACCTTCAATCCCCGATTAAAAAAAAAAATCGTCTTCTGGACTTCTAAAACTGACGAAATTTAGTAACAGTAAAAGTAATGAAAATGGTAGTGCACGCAATATTGTCAATAGGAATAGCAGCTAGCTTGTAGTAGCGACATCATGTTGCAAAAAATTCGGATTTGGGCGACATTCGGGAATTTACCGCCACTTCAAGATTCTTGCCGAAAATATATTATTTATTGAATCCGTTTGCTTATTACCCGACAAGCCGATGTCAGGTAATAATTATTCATGTTTCCGGGCCAAGACTTGAGAACACCGGCTCACTTGATGAGAAGTCATGGCCCCGAACATGTATAATTAACACATGTGATAATGTAACGAAGTCAATGATTGGATTAGCTATATCAGTTAGCCAATGAAATACGTGGTAGCTTATAAAAAAAAATGAAAGTTGCGTCGTATGTTTTACGAACGTGAGGATGGTGAGCCGTTATTTATTTTATTGGTGTTAATTATTCTGTGATCGTCATAGAAGGGTGCTAATTTTATTGGTCAGATAATTAATCAGTGTTGGACATGTGAGCTTACATAATATTGTCAAAACACGTAAGTTGAGTTTATGTTAAATAAAATACCGACCGAAATCCCGATTTTCAGATGCGACATCATGATCATGTCGGTCCGTATAGCGACATGAACCGTGTTATAGCGATTTCTGCTCCTGATTCGCCCATTAGCGGGACCCCTTAGCAGAATAATATCGACGACCCAAATCTCGAACGAAAGTATTCACATAAACGCTGCCTCCATAAACCTTGACAATGCCAGCCTCGCTCGTCCAAACGCTACGTCTACTCTACTAATGTATTTGGTGACATCCCGTGACCATTCGGTTCTTTCCGTAGAATACCGGTCCAGTTTTCACCTAGCCAATCGTGTGCATTCTTTTATTAATCCTACTTATAACCAGCCAATGAAATATGTTTTCACTTCCTCTTTGGCCAATAAATTCGCCATGATGGTTCAATACGACTAATCTAGGCGTGTTGTTGGTGACATTTGATTTCGCCTTTCAAGCCCCACAATGGATTCACGCTATTTTAGCGTGAAAGTGGTAAGAGCTTTGGAATCTTTCAAGTGCCTGATAAGAATAAGCCTCGATCGAACAGTGGGTGAACTGGCTAATTTAGCAATTGAGAGAGTGGGCCTACTTCCTACTTCTTCCACGCCCAGCATTGTAGATGATGATGGACTGCGCATCGAAAAAATTATGGCCTTTGATTCCGCTTCCAGTTCAGACGTTACGACAAATGGTAACATCGTAGACGCATCAACACCCCTCCATGTCATCGTAGATTTTAATCTGATGTTTGTAACAGTCTTTCTTGTTTGCAAAGTGAAAGTCAGTGGTTCAAAATCAAACTCAACTCCTTCAAGTGGTGACAACGATAAGCAGGGAAAAAATGCTTTTGATGAAATGATGTCCAGTAACATAAAGTATGATTGTTTACCCCCCTCAAAAAATTATAACAATCTTAGAAAAGACCATAGGATGTTTAATGACATTCTTAGTTTGTTGAAAGAAATGAATGTTGGATTCACAGCCCATAATGTTAATAGTCTTGGGAAGCAATTTGTCAGCACACTCCACAATACATTATGGTATATTACTTCACAGCATCATAAGTTTAAAGATCGTGGATTACAAATTCCAGATATATTCCAAAAATTTTCTGGATATTATGACAACAAGGCCTGTCAC